ACCTACCTAAACCTAAACTGTCTTTACAACGATCCAAATTTGCAGAACATCTAGTAAATGCCAATCACAATGTAAACAGTTGCCAAGATAATTTACAAATCTTGCACAAATGCAGTAAAGGTCCGCTCATGAACGTCTTAGAGAGTCTTGAAATTTATAAAGCCAATAAAAAATCCTCTCAAGACGTTTTGAATGAAAAACTAAACTATGGTTCAAATATTTTATTTGATAGAATTGAAAACATTAACATCAGAGCTACTACAAGTCTTTATCAGCTGACGTACCCCCTCCCCCAAGGTCAATGTCACCAACTGGACAATGGATAGTTCTGTCGTGTCCGCCGTGTAACCTGCGTCGGTTTGTCCCGTTTCAATGTGGCCGGCCTATCGTAATTGTTTTTGTAACTATATTTATGTAAAATGTGTAAACTTTATGTGTCGTCAACCTGCATGTATACATTGATGAAGACTTACGTCGGATATTTGACCATATTCAATTGATGTTTAAAATAAGGATTTGATAATGGGACTTTGTTCCCGAAACTAGTCATCCAGCATTGACTAAGTTAAGACTGAAGACGGAATAAGGTACGTAACCTATTATATTATATTCAATTATCAGTCTTGGTGGCAAAGATGTTTAAACTGTAGGTTGCCACGGCAACCGTGTGTCGTCATAGCGACTTAGCCAATCACGCACGCGCACTGCGTTGTAGATTACGATACGAATAACCCTCTGACTTCGATGTTGTAATTGAATCGAATTTTTCTAATGATGCGTAATGCAGGGATGAAACTGAACATTTAGACAAGTTTAGGTTATTTATTTTGTTCTAAAAATAAAAATAATACATTTAAAGGTCTGACTTATTGATACAGACATTTTTTAGTATAATTTCGTGTTGAGGACACTCGCACGCCGGTTGTCTGAGACTGAATTCTGACATCTTGAAATGTAGATTGTACTGTGTTGTGCAATATCATCTGCCTGCAGAGAGAACAGTTGAAAATAACCTTTAGCTGTTTTGAACTAAATAGTGTACTAAGTTGGTTACTAAAGTTGTTAGCGTGATTACTAAACCAATAGATATCAAATAAATAAATGTTAAATAAAATATCTATCCATCCCTGTCGGCTGTCGGTATCGGCGAAATCGATGTTTGGCAATCGATTCTTGATACCGATATTCCTAGTATCGGCAATGTCCGAGTATCGGTGGTAGCGATAATTGACACTTCCCTATTTAAAACTCATTTTGGAGTCCTAAATTAGTTTTAAATATGCATCGGGACGTAATCGTTGCATCGGGAGTTAACCGCTGCATCGGTCTTTTTCGATGCATCGAGGCCAAATCGATGCATCGTGATTTCGATGCATGCTGAATCGAATCGCGATTCGATGCATCGAATCGAATCGAATCGAAATTTCGATGCATTTTCGATGCATCGCACACCCCTACCCACGTTATTCTTATGGAGAATAAGTAAACTGTTGTAGTTTGCTTGTTTATGAACATATTTTGATCAAATTTGGAAAATGCATTTATTTCTTACTAAACTATTAAACATAAAAAAACGTTTTTATCCTCCCTGTTGCAGCAAACCTACGTACTCGTTAAACTAATTTTATTTAAATAGGGAGTAAATGGCGTATGGAGACATTTTAATGTAAATCCAATCAGGCAAATGGAAATTCGCTTGGTCTGCAGGTTTGTTGCAGCGAGGGTATTCTATTCTTTCTTGAGTTTTTCTTCATCCATCCATTCAACAAGTTACAATCACCATTCCATTCCATCCCAATCACAGGCTACAAAAGTTGTCATGGTTAACAAATTAAATACCTAATCACAAAACATTGTGACATAGCAAGCACACAGCAGACATATGTGTAGTAGGCCTAAGGTGTGGGAATAACCCACATCGCAGCCAACAATTATAAAATAACGCAAACAGACATCTCTAGTCAGACACTTACGATACTAGCGCTACTGCCGGGAAACGAGGAATGGACCGGCGAGGAGGTTTGTCTTAGGCAAACTTCGTAAGGGTGTGCATAGGCTACTTCTCTTCTCTTGGTAACGTAAACTAGACATTCCATCCCCATGTTAAAGTTGTAGCCAGGTTTTTAATCAAATTTGTCTTAGTTGATGTGAGCCACCTACAGATTGCGCTGATCTAAATTACTGTAATTTCTGCCGATTACACGATGGTTTTTACCAAGTTAAACTGATGGAATGACTTATTATGAGCTATAGCAACTGTTGTGACCCAGCAACTAAGTTAGTAACAAAAAAATAAGGTACAAAATAGAGTTTTAGACACTAGCGCAATCTGTGACTGGCTCACACAACTACGTTCTTTTTTAGTAAAAAATTGGCGACAGCTGATCCATATAGATGGGATGTAATAGTGTAAGGTAGGGAAGACCAATTAGTAAATTAATCGTTAGGGGGATAAAGGGGTAAAGGGGTATCTTTTCTAAATTGAACTGATGTAATGACTTATTATGAGCTATAGCAACTGTTGTGACCCAGCAACTATGTCAGTAACAAAAAATAAGGTACAAAATAGAGTTTTAGACACTAGCACAATCTGTGACTGGCTCACACAACTACGTTCTTTTTTAGTAAAAAATTGGCGACAGCTGATCCATATAGATGGGATGTCTTCTTCTGTATCCAATAGTCAATGGTAATAGTGTAAGGTAGGGATGACCAATTAGTAAATTAATCGTTAGGGGGATAAAGGAGTAAAGGGGTATCTTTTCTAAATTGACCACGTTCAACCAACAATAAATTAAGTGATGTACCGTAACTAAATTAAACTTTACAATTATCAATATCCAACTTAGGGCAAGTTGTTGCAGGCATCTAATAATGGTGAGGGCTAATTAGAATATGAAAATGTAGTTAATCTATTAATTAAAGGCCCATCAAAGCTGGTTTACGCTGAGCAGGGTTTTTGTGAGAGCTATTGGGAAATGGAACCAGTACGTTTTTCATTAAAATGTGGATCTGGGTGGATTTATTCCAGTCAGGACCTCACAGTTGGTAGCAGAGCGTTACGTAACCTCATAGCTTGCATAGTAACTCTCGCAAAATCCTGTTCGGCTGGCCAAGCTTTAAATAAGTCTCAAATTCCATAATTTTCACTTTTAAAACGATTTTTTTATTTTCGGGGAAGGTAATCTAAGGTATTCAGTGATGGTTTAGAAAATGAATTCCATTGTGTAATCATGTAAGGTCAGATCACGTGATCGAGTCTTCAACTTCTGCCCATGACCTCGTGTGAGCAAGTTAACTCATCAAGGTATTAAATTTAACTTCTGCAAATTCATTTATTTATTAAGTTGAGGTTCCAAATGTCAAGGCGTGTTTACAATAAATTTTCATTTCAATATCTGATTTTAAATGACGAATATGCAGCAATGTAATTAGTACGATGTAGGACTACTTAACTCAAATGAGTGCCTATGTGAAGCATCCTGTTGAGCTGCGAAGCACATTTAAATAATTTAATAGTCAGTAACGTACATTTTTATTTATTTTACAGCGAATTATAATTCCCAATCTTTTTTCTCCAAAGTCAATTATTTTCAATATGTGATAAATAAATTAAAGAAGCATTAGAATGCAAGCCCCTTCATCTGCACATGTACAGCCGTCAATGCAGTTCTGTCTAAAGGATGGCGTGTCCTTGAATTTCGGTACTGAATTAGGCTATGTGTAGTGACTATTTATTTGACTGTTAATGTATTTGTTTTAAATGTTAATTGCAATAGGAATGATTGAGTGGGAATTCGATTTCAGTTGGGGATTGTTCTGATGTGGTACAGTATATTCAGCCTAAGTAAGTTTGCTAGGTTAAGTAGCTGCGGTGTGTTCAGATTAAATTTATTGCCACCATGCACAGTAATTTTGTGTAACCCCTTTTGTGTATAATAATTTTTTATGGTGGTTCCAAAGCAATTTAGCCCTAAGTAGGCCTAGGCCTATTCAATCTTAAGCAGTTAACCTTAAATAATTCCTCCCAGAAAATCAGGTCATTGTTGTTTATTCTTAATCTTAGCAGCCTAGTTTATTTTTAATAGTGAAATTTACACCCCTTTTTTACACAATTTGCTAGATTTAATACAGTGATTGCTAGAACAAGTTAGGCTGAATTGAGTAGGTAATGGGTGGGTTGACCGCAAGATGTAATAAGTTTTACTGATTCAGTACCTGAGTAAAACATGCGATACTGCTGATACTGCTTCTATTAAGTAATCAAAAGCGTTTGGGGCATTCGATAATATTAAAAAAAAAATTGTCTGAATACTTTTGTAGTTTAGTATGCAATGTGTGGAACATCACTGCGGACTTTCTGTTGCTTAATATTGGATGGATCCACCATTTTCGCTGCTGTGATCAGCGTCGTCTTGATAAAAGTACACTGATAACAACACTATGAATGTTAATTTGCGGCATGATCCAGGGCCACGTTTAACCTCGGCGCTTCACTAAACTGCTAGTGGAGCCACGGTGTATGTGAGGACGCTGCAGATTGTAGTTCGTACTCTGCTACTAGTGGAGCCACCAACTGTCGCGTGTAGCGCACTACAATTTGCAGCGCGAGAATTTACGGCAAGTGGAGCCGCAGTCTAAGGAGCAGACGATTGTCAGTGCAAATGGATAGCTTGGACCTTGAAGCTTTGTTCAACAATTCTTTGTTTTGTTTCCATTTTATTTTTGTCAAATGGACTGTGACATTTCAAAAACAATAATGTGGGAACCTACTGCATATAAATAATGGACAGAAATAGTTTAATATACAACAATTTTTAACACATTAGACTAAAAAAACTCAAATCATAAAATTTTCTAGGTATTTTTCTTGGACAGTGAGGTTATGTTAGCGGAAGCCTATTGTTTCGTCGTCACGGTCGGACCAAGCGAGGAGTCGGACCATCGGAGGTCAGATTAGCGAGGTTCTACTGTAAATAGAAATTGTATGAAATACATACTTCAGAAGCAAACTTCTGATATTTTGCTGCATTTGAATTATCTGGTCATCCATCATGTGTTCATCATCTTTGGAAGAAAACGCCTGATTCAGCCAATACCTCAACTTGTTTACCTGAAACAGATTGTTTATTAGTTTGTTGAAACATAAGCTATCTGTTATATTTTGTTTAAGTGAACTTCTTTTATACTTTCAAGTGTGTTGTGTGAGTCGGTGCCAATAAAACTACTTTAACACAACTTAAACACAACAACTTTAAAAACAACTTAAAATTTATGTGGTTCAACTTGCTTTGTACTTTTGTAGACCTTAATTTATAGTGTTGGATGTTTGTATTATTAGTTTGGAAGTTTAATTTTTTGACATGTGTAATATTGTTTAATAAATGTACAAGTCATAGGCTGTCATAACACATGATTTATAAAAAAAATGTTTCATTGAATGGTAATTATTTTAAATTTTGAAAATATTTTTTTTTATTTATTTTATTTCCAAAAAATACAAATTTACAACACATACAATTCCAAGCCACAAAAGCCAATATGGCTTGTCTGCAGCAATTATTCTAATTTTGTTCTTTCACAGTGCTTTTTTTTTATTCAATCAGTCTTTGTTATTCAATCAGTCTTTTGTTTCCCTTGTTTTTCTTTAAGAATTCAATAATATACCAAACCAATCATAGAATTTAAAGTAGTCAGATTTTAACAATTATTAATAAACAATGAAAAAAGCAACAGTAGTAAACGGATTTAAAACTATTAAAAAAGTAACAATAATAAACATTTGGAACAGTGAACAACAATGATAAAATATGAAACACAGTTATCTTTATGCTTTAACTCAGATCTAGATATAAATTCTTTAACTTCTTCTTTAAAACTCTACAGTAACATATATTCCTCAGCTGTACTGGTAAACTGTTTAACAAGAATGGAACTAAATATTCCCTTGTTCTTTTAGAATATTTATTTGTTGTTCTAGGCACAATAAAGAACATTTGCCTTGAGTTGTAACTTGAACATTAAGGTTTTTGAACTCATCTGAAAAATAATAATCTGTTATAATTAAAAACTTACACAGCCCATCAATTGGCAAAACGTTGACCAATTGATAACCTAGCATGGGATTATCAACCAGATCAGCAGAATCAAGCTTAGTCATTGTTTTGATTATCCTGCTTTGCACGGTTTTTAGTTGCATTATGGCTGTGTTTGATGCTGCTCCCCATGACCTTACACCATATCTAAGCAATGATTCACACAGACTTGAGTAAATCAATTTCATTGTTTTTAGTGGCAGGTATTGTCTTATATGGTAAAACTTAAATAAGCATAATCTTAATTTATCAGTTAGTTGTTTCAAGTGCAAGTCCCATTTCATGTTATGGTCAATTATGATTCCCAGATATTTATAACTTAAAACATATACTCCAAATTCATACACTGACACATATTTTCATTGCTTTTCCGATGCAGACAATCGTGTGAATGAAATTTTACTGCTAGCTCTGTGCATTGGTACGAAGGTGAATGAATATGCATAAACTTTGATTTACTGCCATTTATAATCAATCCATTGTCATGGCACCACATTGTCAGCTTCAAAAAATCTGCTTCAATCTTAGTTTTTGCCACGTTTATATTTTTATCGGATAGGGCTGTATCATCTGCGTACATAAAGGTTCTACAGAATTGTATAGCATCTGGCATCTCATTTACATAAATTAGGTACATCAAAGGCCCTAATATACTTCCTTGTGGTACACCGTATTCTAATTCTTTTTCTTCACTAAATTTATCGTTTAATCTTACTTTAATTTTTCTGTTTTTTAAATAGTTTATAAACCAGTCTTTACATGGACCTCTAATTCCTGCTTTTTCTAAAGCCACTGCAATTTTTTTGTGTTCTAGGGTATCAAAAGCTTTACTGAAATCAATAAAAATCACCAATACTTGCTTTCCCTGGCCCAATTGATTGTTTACATAGTCTGAAAATTCTAACAGCTCATTTGTCCCTCGTTTCCTTTGATATGCATATTGACTTTCATGTATCACTCCATTATCTTCTAAATGATTTATTAGTTTATTTGCAACATACCTTTCTAATATCTTACCAAGGGAGGGGAGGATCGATATAGGACGATAATTTGAATAGTCATCATGTCTCTTTGATTTATAGATTGGTCTTAAAACTGCAATCTTAAGCATGTCTGGAAAGTTTGAATTTCTAATGGAAGTATTTATCAATAAAACAATAGAATCAATTAAAACATCCGAAATAATGCGACTGTTCTTTACTTTTCTGTTGAGGAAGAATTTGGTCTTTCAAGAGTTTTTCAATTCAAACATATTTTTTAATACAAAATAATTTGTCTTAGTAGATCCTCTATAATTTGCTATTCCATAGGATATGTGAGAATTCATGGTGTCTACTAAATCTGGTTTGAAAAATTCAAGGGGTTTTCCAGGAGAATTCAAGACAAAATCCTGAATTTTAAAAACTAATATTGGAACCCTACTTTCTTAAGACGCCGCTTTATATTGGGTAAAAACTTTCAAAAGATTTTAAAAAGAAACAATTTTTATCACATAATGCATTTAACTAATGTATTAAAAAATTTACCTCAGAAATAATGAAATAATGAATTTATTTCCTCCAATAAAAACACACAATGGATACAAAATTGGCTTGGAAATTAACTGGCCACTTTATCCAGTACATGTGGCCAGTGTACAAAGAAACTTATCAGTAACTTAAAATAAATAGTAAGTTAAATAGTAAGTTAGAAATTGTATTATTAATTTCAATTTCTTCACAATACGAAGCATATTTCCCGGTCTTGGCAACACCGATAATCGTTTCCCGCAATCACGGCAACATCCGTGAGCATATTTTGCGGTCTCGGCAATACGGCTAATTGTCTTGCCCGATCGCGGCAACACCCATGAGTATATTTTGCGATTTCGACGACACCGACAATGGTTTCCCACGATCGGGAATACACAATACCAAAAGTTTTTCGAAGTTTTGGGATCTGTTCAACACTAATTTTGAAGGGTTAGATTATTCCCTGCCGAAATGAATTTATTTTTCAGACTTTTCCCAACCTTTCAAAATCCCAGACTTTTTCCCGAATTTCCCGGAATTCCCAACTGCTAGACTGGTAGAAACATATAATTTTTATTTTCTTCTTGATTGCAGTATTAAAGCCAGTCAACAGGCCCTAAAATTGTTGATTGATTTGTTTAAAATCTTTTTGTATTAAGTTCCATTCAAAACTTGACGTAATTTACTTATTTAGTTATTTCAAAAGCTATGAACATAAAGATGAATATCTTGGGAAAAATAAAAATTAATTTCTTCTTTCTTCAGTTGAGGCAATTCCCAAGCTGTAAATAAGATATGAAAAGGAAATAATATACATAAATACATTCTTTGTTCATGTTTTATATCATGTAGTCTACAGGGTGTCCCTTTTTTATTTTCCATTTTTCATTTTTTATCCATTTTTATTTTTGAATTTTTTCAACCGATCTTTATAAAACTTGGAATGTACTCGTAGGTTAAGGTAGAAAATACCAATGTTAGAAAGAAATTCATTTTTATTCATCTTAAAATTTTAATTTTTTTAACTTCTACTAAAAAACGGCTAATTTTACGAAAAAATGACAAGGACACTTTTATTTAGCATTTTTAATTCCCTATCAAACGATACCAAGTTCAAAAAGATTGAATTAGAAATAGAGAAAATATTACGATTTTTAGTTGTAAAAAGGGGTACAATAAGGCTGAAGCTATAGTTCGGCCGCTTAGAATACGACCTGCTAATGCTAAACCAATAAGGCTGTGGTTTCCTAGACGCGTATTAGATGCGCTGCGTGTGCGCATCTAATACGCAGCACACTTGTCTTATGGAGTTTCGTGTAAGCGGTTTCCAAGGCTGCGTATCTAATGCGCGCGCATCTAATACGCGCGCACCAATAGCTGCGTATTTCACTGACTGCTCTCAGAGCAGTCAAATCTGAGCTGCGCTGCGTTTTAGACATGTCTCGTGCAATGGATTCGGAAGTAAATTTTGTACATAAGGCAAAATTCTCCAACAACGACGAAAAATTAATTGAATTTGTATCTTCTAACAACATATTATTGAAGTACTCTGTTCATACAACTAAAATTTTATAGTATTAAATTTCATATCACTCGTTATGTAGTGTTAATTTCCCCATAATGTGTGATTTTAAAATTGAATTCCCTTGTTACATGTTCCCTACAATTAATTTGTCCGTACATATTTTCTTATTGTTGTTATTAGTAAATAAACCTAATCTTGACAAATATTCATTTCATGTCAGCACAACACCAATTCCCAGATATAAGAGCCCCCATAATTATTTTAAGAAGTCCTGAACATTTTAGTAATAGGCCAATATTAATTACTAGCACAGTACCCAAACTTCTTACGGGGTTAGCGTACTGTATAAGTATAAAACGCTTATTGCAGTTATACTTGTAAAAGGTATTTTCATCGATTCGGTAAATCCCGAATGGTAAATGTAAACACAGGAAAAGCAAAGTTGGGCAGGGTAAATTAAGATTTATTGTTTACATTTTAAATTGAAATGTTTGCTTTAACACTACAGTTAAACGATCCGTGAGGGCCACGTACAGTTCCTAATTATGTACTTTTCTCTGCTTACGCTTCTTCAAAGCTTTTAATGCCAACATATAGATATCACTATCTAAATCATCGTATAACATCATAGTAGCCACTAGTAATCTCTCCCGTGAACTTATGTTACGCACCAACCGTGTGTATTGTACGCAGTCTAGGAAACCACTCACGGCAGCTGCGTTTTGGGACCTGGACAAAAGCCGCAGCGCATCTAAACCGCTGCGCATCTATTACGCGTCTAGGAAACCACAGCCTAATGGAGGAGGTCCCTTTCTAAGCGGCCGAACTATAGTCAGGTTTGCCCCATTTTACATCTAAAAATCATAATATTTCAGCAATTTCTTATTCTATCTTTTTGAACTTGGTATCGTTTGATAGGGAATTAAAAATGCTAAATAAAAGTGTTCTTGATATTTTTTCATAAAATTAGCCGTTTTTGAGT